AGTCACCATTCTCTGCCATTAAATTGGCAAGTGCGAGCAGGACTTTTTTGTGTTATTAAGTAATAAGCCTTTAGAACAACATTAAGGTGAGTAGTCTCTCTAGTTCACACAGTTCCAATAAATTGCGATGGGTTAGCCTAAATAAACTCAATAAGCAGACAGACGCGACTACAGTCAAGCGCAGACCAGTATTGAAGTGCACAGGAAATAAGCAGCAGTCATATTTAAAGCAGTTTAAATTAATATTGAGTACTGATTGATGTTCACTTGGATTTTTTTCCCCATCGAGGGGAAATAACTTAATACTCTGTCATTTATAGTCGTATGGTAAAATGTATATTTTTATTTGTGTAACGTTACGTTCAAAATAACTACAAAATGTCATGCCTTTGAAAAATATAGAGAACAACAGAATGCGCTGCTTTAGCGCGTCTTGGTCTCCTTGAGCATCTTTCTGGCGCATGCCACAAACATGAACCACAGCTAATACTTGTCTTTTAAAAGGCTTCATTTAGATTATTTGACGTTAAATGCATCATATAAGTCACTTTGGAATAAATCACAGTAGGCCTATGTATCATGATAAAAAAAAAGCGACTTTACAGTCTGGAAATACTTTAGGCTATAGCAAATTATTTCTTGGACCCCCTATCACTTTAAGAACCGCTGGTCTACACAGAAGAAAGACCTGTCTAGACTCTGCCCCTGTACGAGTTGTGTCGAGCTATTCATTAGTCTGTTTGAAAAATATGAAATTGATAAAATGGGTTATTAATCCATACAACTGCAGCAGTGGAGGACTATTATTCTGCTGCGTGATACTGCAGAAGAACTGAAGATGGCACGGTTTGATCTTCGGCTGACCAATCAGCAGAAAGGGGCGTTTAATTCCCGTCCACATGTAGAAATCGAATATTCAAGCTGTTTATTCATTTTTCCACCCATGAACGAAAAACGAAAATTTAAGCTGAATTTTCGTTTTTCATTTTTTGGAAAAAAACGAAAAAGGAGCCGTATTCTAATTTTTCTACTTCAATATTAAATCAAAAAACAAATGATCGAATGATACACGGATTCGTCTGGTCCTTCTCTTTCTTATTTGGTTTTCTTTTTTGTTTTCCTTATCCATGTTATATTGTTTTCTGTGAAAACTTACACCGCTATCTGCATTAACAAATAACGTGACCATGGCAACAGCCAATTTTTTAACGGCAAAACCTGGGTTGCTGTCGTGAAATACTTAATGATTTCCCTTTGCTAAGGGAAGTGTTTAAGGGATTATATGCAACACCCTTAAGTCATTCCCTTAGGTAAGGGGAAATCACACCTCAAGTCTCATACTTAAGGGAAAAACTTAAGGTGCTTTATCCAACCGGGCACTTTTCTTTAATTTTAAGAGGAAACATTCACATTTCTAAGAATTTTCTTACTAGGAGCAACTCTTAGCACTACGATTTACATGAATACGGGCCCTGAACTAGCAGGTTCAGGAACAGCTTTTCCCCCACAGCTGTTTCCATGCTAAACTCTACCCCCAGTAACACCTTCATCCCCCCATTACCACACACTGAACTGCATTCCACTGCATTGATCAACCTTATGCTACATTGCACTGTTTATACATGCTATATAGGCTATATATATCTACATTCCAAAAAACAATCTTTCCATGGATTTAGTTCTGGGAAATCCTTCATCAGGGCCTGTGAGAGAGAAAAAAAATATATAAATTTCAGGAGTTTAACACAATTTCACATCATGGTCAGAAGCATTGGATTGTGTATATAATTAAAACTATTTACTTAGTGTCCATAACGAAAAAAATTATATTTTAGACATAGGCTACATGAGAGGAGTGGTCAACGTTGGTCGAGAGCCACAGTGACTTCAGCTCCATCCCTAATCAAACAAAGCCAATCAAGGTCTAGAAAGCCAGGCAGGGGTGCTTTTCCCAAAAGCATCGTTAGCTAACTATGGTAGTTAGTTCCATGGAAATCTATTGGTAACGACGGAACTTGCGACCATAGTTGCTTTTGGGAAATGCAACCCAGGTTAGTTTTGATCAAGGTTGGAGCTAAAGTCTGCAGGGCTGTGTGGGCTGTCCAGGACTGACATTGGCCACCCCTGGGTTAAATGGTTTAAAAATGCATTGGTTATTACCAGGGTTGTGAAGTAACGAATTACAAATACTCACGTTACGGTTACAAAATCAGGAAAATATCGTACAAATGACACAATGAGACTCCCGTGGCGTTAATATACTGCATCTGTGCCAGTGCGTGATGTAATAGAACTGCAGCTCGTTTATAAACGTTTTTTTTTAAATCCATTTTATACAATCCGCCTTCAATAAGCAAGTTCAACACTTTTTGTTCCGTTCAGTTGTGGATGCTGCTGATTCACCGAGACCGCCGCGGCTCAGCATGACATGCGTGTGTGTGTGTGTGTGTAAGTGTGAGAGAGAGTGTGTGTGTGTGAGTGTGAGAGAGTGCTTCTAAAGGTATCGGCCTATTGTTTTATTAAAATTTGGATAGTCTGTTAATATAATATTCCATACATTATCAGAGCTTGGTAGACATAATTATTATATTCTTGAATTAATTAATAGATTATAATTAATGTTAGGCCCTATTTATTAATTTATCATTTATATTAATCATAAATATATACATAATAAATCATCATATTTGTCATGTGACATGTGGCCAAGTATGGTGACCCATACCCATACTATATATTGTCATATACAATTTGGCATTTAAAAAAGTTTCAAAAGTTCTAAATTATTTAGTTAAAAATGGAACAAATAATTACATAATAACATAGCCCTAATTTAAGCAAATTAATAAAAAAAAAAAATAGAAATTCATCCCATCCAGGTAACAGCTGCAGAACTGTCAAAAAAGACTAATAATAAATAATAATTATAAATAAAATAATAAAATTAAAAATAACAATATAAATGTGTTCTGTTTCAAGTTTACATATTTGAGCATGTTTTCTAATGGTTTATTGTTGAGCTGTGAGTTCCTCACTGATTATTTGTGTCCTTGTTTTATTTTATTTTTAATTAATTT